AATGTGCCACCACTAGCGCAACAACTCCCTACATGTTTGTCCGTCGAATTGTGCATGACTAGTCGACAGTTATGCCTGTTTGCCAAGAGCAGTCCACATCTAGACATTTGTTCTTGCAAATTGCACAGCATGGCTGACGACGAGTGCTTACATAGACTTTCTGCTCCACCATTTTGAGTGTGGCTAAATTAATGCTCTGGTTTTGCGCCTTTCCTATCGCGTACAGTCCTCCAACACCGTGCATCCAATATGACGTCATGTTTGGCAAGAATTGCCCAGTGGCTTTACTCGAACCAAATAGTCAATATGTAGTCGGATAGCAAATCCAAGAGTGTATTATCATGAGTACCATGAGTTAAATTAAAACTATTGCCGTGAGATTACCTTAATCTCCGCTGCGGTTTTTTGACCTCTCCAACAGCTTTCCCGCTACTTTACCGAATCCGAAAAGCTGATCTGGTGTATCACGTACTTGCGCATACACTTGGGACTGCACCAATGCAAATTCGAATCCGAAGTGGACACTGTAAAACGCTAGAGTAAAAAATTACTAGGAAAATGCAAGCCCTCCTGTAGTTACAGCTCCATGTGAGCTATCGGCATCTAGAGATTACCTTGATGTTTCGAAAGTTACCCCATTAATGATGTCCATCAATGATTCCCCGAAAGCCTTTCACTGAGTTTGAGGCTTCTGAAGTGAAAGTTAAAGAGTTACAAATCACAGGCAGAGCGTGAGTAGAGCATGAATTTCGTGAGACGACTCACCAATTAGTATTCGTTAAGTTCACTGTCTTCGAAGAAACGTTCGGCGCCTTTGAATATCAGACCGCCACGTCCCATTCCGATTCCGAGTGCCACGACTCCGGCATAAGGGAAGAACTGCAGTTTAGTCGACCTTAGAATAGTCATAGTTGCCTAGTAGTTGCGTCGAAGATTTGGGATAGAGGGACGAAGATAATGTATATGAAATACTACCTACCTGTACAGCAGTGTGGAAGCGCGGCGCATGTCAGAAAGTTCCCTCATGTCATTTTTATGTTCGGCCAATGCTTTTGCCTTCATCAGATTGTATACCTGTGCAAGTCACGTAAATGAACAATGTGCTTCTATGACTTCAATACAAAAGGCAGTGCTTACCTCCAACCGAAGGGTTTCATTAATGAAAGTCTGCTTATTGTCCGCCTGCAGGTATTCCTCGATTGGTTTTATCGCTGCTTCGAATAGGGCTCCATCAATATAGCCCGTGTAATCTGTTAAAATTGCAATGCACACTAGAAAAGTGAATATGTGTAGGAAGAGCGCAAAGTGCTCACCTAGCAACACTATTCCACAAGTTTCTTTCGAATCGGCAACTTCGCCAATTATTTTCGCATAAGTAAGTAAGTAAATAAAGATAACGTAACGCTGGTAATCAACTAAGTAAGCTGCCATTAGCAGCTTACTCAGTTGATTACCAGCGTCGAATGGAGCGACCTCAAGGAACGGATCGTACTTTAAAATCAGAAGGAGTCCGGTACGATGGTGTATGAACGGAAAAGCCTAAACAATCGTCTATTGACTCACATGTGCATCTCGTGGGCACATAACAATGCGGCTCGCTGTGCATGCTGCGAAGCTGTCGTCCACGAGGGTTCAGTTGAAGAAGCAGCTTCGACTGGATACCATCCCATAATAGCAGCCGTTCCAGCCGTTACCGTGGGGTTAGTCCTATCAAGGTTAGCGTCTCTAACGACCATTTGTCTCCGCCTCATCGCTGGCCATTGCACTATGTCGACAGCAATGAGGCGCCAATGAGTGGAGGAGACTTTGGACGACGAGCACTCTTGGGTAACTTTATAGTCATCGAATTCAAATAGGCTGCCTGAAATGTCAGTTGCAATAAGTGCTTGTTGACAGCCATAATTATTTAAGTGTATACCGTGCTCTAGCGGCGGGGCACTAGGCAGCGTTCTCGTCCTCATCGCTGGTGACCGTGGCGGTGGAAATGGAACCTACACGTGGATCATCACGGGAGCGCGCCTCATGGCACCATTAAACAACCGGTATTGTTTTCGGCGCTGTCCTCTGTTCTTTCGAGAGTGCTGCTTCTAGTGGTGACTCTACGACGAACTCTTCGCGACTTTGCGTCGACGACTCTGGGGCGCGCGATGTTGATCGCTCGTTTCCAGCCATCACATTACTGCCGGATGCTCCTTGGAAATGCTGTTGGTCGCTTCCTTCAGCCATCTTTTCACTGCCGCTTGCATCCGCCTTTTTTCGCTGTTTTTCGTTTGAATAATTTTTTGATGCTCCACTTCGTTTTCTCAGCTTTTACGGGAAATTTTATGGGACAATTGAAGATCGGAATCCACACTGCTGCTGTCTCCCAAGGTTTCTGCTGGAATGTTCTATTTTTTCTAAACAGTTTTGCTCAACATCATCGCAGCTTAATGTTGTGTGTGATGAACATAATGAAGGTACCTTGCAATGCGCTTGAGGCTTTCGCCTGCTTCGTTGAAGATCGCCGCACTCCGCGTGATGTGCCCATTCTACCAGCTTCACCTAAACAGAAGCATTGACATGTGACACCAGTCTACGTGATCTCCCGGAAGAACTGGGCAATTGTACTAACTATGAGTTGGTCTTGAGGGAACGTATTCGCCGAAGTCGGATTCCGCAGCGGCACCCTCTTCATCCTCGGTATACGGTTCGCGCTCCCCCTCCGCTCCCTCCACGTCCGATAACTGTGCGGCTTCGTTATTGTATCTGCAGAGTTAAGACAAAGTATTTTCAGAGAGGAGTGCTTGAAGATGTCAAAAAAGTCACTAACCTCACAATTACCGAATTACATGTAATTCCCATATCTTCGCAATTGATCATTTTGAAAAAGCGTCTGAGGAGATTGGGGGCGGAAGAACGCGATAGATTCTGACCGCTCCACAATAGGAAAAAACAGCACGCTTCATCATCCATGTTTTCAAGATCATGCTGCCGTACAATGCTAGAAATAAACAACGCCGTTTCGTGGACCGATGATGGGCATCCTCACTATGACCTACAAAGTACGCAGCTTCCGATAGTGCTGCAGCCATTGGTATGACTTCTTCCAGAACAAATAGGCCGCTTCTGCACGTTGTCTCTTTGCGAACTTGCCCTCCCTGCTTCGGTGATGGGTAGCGCGCAACCTAAGTGTGTTACTGGTAACCTGATGGCACAAAAATTTGTCCATCAAATCCGTCACGGAATAGCGCCATGTGAGGCTCAACACGAAACGTAGCTGATGATAGAGTTTTACCCAAAAATCCTCGGTCGACACCACTTGTTTCACGAGTCCCATAGGTTGAAATGCTGTGCGGGCGTTTTCCACCAGACTACCACATACTGTTTTATAAGCCGCCTCGTTTCTTGCGGAATTGCAGACAACAATGTATGCCAATAGAGCACTGTAATTCGATAAAGTGGTAGATGTCGAAGGTATATTTGTGGATTCGTAAGCTAATGAATATACGTAACTTACCTCATAACGAAGTTGTACTCAACATGGAGCAATTCCATCGGTTCACTGGCGAATTTCTTCATTATACTTTCAATCTTTTCGGCAATCATACGGTGATTGACGACTGTTCGCATCACTCCATACAGCGCGGATTCCTTGAAAACAGAAATCTCGCGTAGTTATGGACTTGGTTTCAAACCGTACGAACCTTCTTAGGTTTTCCCATTGAGACGACTCCTCTATGCGATTGCACTTTCGACTCTTCGCGCTTCAGAGTTTTGTAGTGGTGCCCCAACAGATTGAGCGCACTGTTTGCCACCCCCTTTCTCTGCTCGCCAGCATCTGTTCACAAACACGTGCTTTGCATAAGATACGAGTATGTATAAAGAAAATCCTGTAAACCATACTAGAATCCATGTGAATGCGTAGAAATTTTAGAACGAGGGACTTGACAAAGCTCATACGAACATTGACTGTTACTCCGCATTGTTGCGCCTTTTGTAAGAACTCTGGTATCATGTAGTAGGCGAACAGTGCATCGTCCACAGTGACAATATTCCCACACCTGAACTTCGCCATTCTTCTACACAAACAACCACCACAGGCATGAGGAGATTCACTTACCGCTGACGCCCTCTCATCGCTATAAGCATGAATCGGCACACGTTAGCTCTGTGGGTCGCATTAGTGTCCATTGGTTTGAGATGTGACTGCTTACCCCCGATTAGCTGGAATAGTTACTTGGAGCATGATAGATCGAATGTCACGTCTCGCAAATTCCTCACAATGAAAGTTTCGGCTCTCTTTGAAACGCTTCAAAATAGGGTGTTCAACTTTCTCCACAGCTTCATAAAGAGGTCCGCGCGTCTCATCCTGTCTTAACAATGTGGAAGGTCAGGCGCGATTTGGCATGGCATGACCGATAAGCCTTTGGAAACATACCCGAATCTGC